CAGGAAAGGGTACTTTTCATTCAACGTACAAGCTGTGTGTAACGCAAACTTAATAATAACAGACCTCGTATGCCGGTGGCCTGGTTCTGCACATGACAGCAATATATTCAACAACAGTCGATTGAAGCATCGTTTTGAGCAAAATGAATTCAAAGAATGTTTTTTACTGGGCGACAGTGGATACAGTGTCAACAAATATATGATGACCCCGCTTTTACATCCCAGTGCTCGTGCAGAAACTTTGTACAACGAGTCGCAGATTCGTACTCGAAATTGCATTGAGAGATGTTTTTGTGTTTGGAAGCGCCGTTTTCCGGTGCTCTCGCTTGGATTAAGGCTTTCCCAAGGCACAATAATAAACATCATTGTCGCCTGCGGAGTACTTCACAACATTGCCCGTCAGAACAAGGACACATACCAATTTGAAGAGGAAAGTCTCAACGTTCCTGAGACTACCGCCCCTATCATTGATGCGGAGGAAATAGCCAATGAAAGGCAAGAAAATAATGTTGTGAGATCAAATCTTATCAGAGATTATTTTTCAAGGTTTGTCAACAATTTAGCTTATATAGCCAAGAATGAAATATATTTCTGCTTTCTTCCAGGATATAATGGACATGCTATAATTGTTGCTTTCGAAGCAGATGATAAACTATTCATTATTTAACTAGAACTAAATATAGCATAAACATATATTTACATACAAAAACACATTAACTTACCTTTCTCACCTTCACTCGCCTATTTTATATATACATACATATGTATGTTCATACTTACTTTCTCCTAATCCCTATAATTGTATACCTACAATTTTTGTCGTTGTACTTACACTATTTACTTACTTATTTACATATCGATGGCTCAGTGGAAGATCGGCATATCTCGGCAGCCAGTTCAAAAACGCCCTATCTCAGAAAACTTTTCAAGAACGCTCTATTTCAGAATTTGATGGAAAAACGCCTTATCTCAGAATTCGGTTCAAAAACGCCCTATCTGAAACGAAAATACATTGAAGATAGGGCGTTTTTGAATCGGCAACTGAGATAGGTCGTTCTTCAACCAAATTCTGAGATAGGGCATTTTCAATCAAATTCTGAAGTAGGGCGTTCTTGAAAAGTTTTCTGAGATAGGGCGTTTTTGAACTGGCTGCCGAGATATGCCGATCTTCCACTCAGCCATCGATATATACTTAATATTTAATATTTGATTTGATTTGATTTAATATAAAAATAAATTATGTTTAATAAAAACTGTTTATTCGTTATATGGAAGCAAATTGCGCAAACAAAAAATCTAAAAAAGTAACGCTAATTTTTAGCCATTTAACACCTGCACTTTGTTCTACTAGAATTCAATGGGGCACAAAGCTACATACTCAAAATCTTTCTAAGAAATCTAATTAAGAAATAACAAAAAATAAATAAATTGCTAAAACTTATCATTATGTGGTGCGGCAATAATTTTTACGACCACTGTATGCACATACATACGATTCCATCATTTTTCCTATTTTGAAACATACAGTGACTCAAACAAATATTAACTTGCGGATTTTGTTAAATGTTCACAATTTTTTCAAGTTAAATGCTTGTTATTTTTCTATAAAATATTGTCCAATTTTTAACCATATAAATAAAAGTTTCATAATCCATACAAACTTTTTAATAATTTTATGTACATCAATATATTTGTTTCAGTGTTTATTAAAGTCCAGTGTTTTTAAAACATTGGAATCCGAAAAACGTTAATTTTTATAAAGACCTATATTTCTATAAAAAAAAAAAAATGTATTTCATTACAAACAAAAAATATATATACAGTGGTGGAAGCAATAATAGAAACATTTTATTTTGACCAGTTTTGGTTATATTACTTTTGTTTATTTAATGTTTAATATTTTTTATAAAAGCCTAGCGCATTATATAACACACACCATATAAATGCACATTTCAAACTTTGTACAAAAATTTAAAAAATTCAACCAATTTTACCGAAATCCCCCAAAAATTTCGAACTTTTTATTCAGAGTTTAAACAAAAAATTCGGTTACGCAGTTTTATAGCTCATTCAATTTTAGTAGGTCAAAGTGCAAATTTCAGAAAGCTAGAAAATCGCATTGATTTTTAATATTTTTTTTTTTAGCTGACGCTGTTAGGCATTTTCTTCCATATTAAAAGAAACTTTGAGCATGGTCGAACATATTTTATATGAAAGAAAATACACAACACCGTCAGCCAAAAAAAATATTAGAAATCAACGCGGTTTTCTAGCGTTCTGAAATTTGCACTTTGACCTACTAAAATTGAATGAGCTATAAAACTGCGTAACCGAATTTTTTTTTTAAATCTGAATAAAAAGTTCGAAATTTTTGGGGGATTTCGGTAAAATTGGTTGAATTTTTAAAATTTTTGTACAACGTTTGAAATGTGGGTTTATATGGTGTGCGTTATATAATGCGGTAGACTTTTATAAAAAATATTAAACATCAAATAAGAATATGAGAGTCCATAAAATAAACAAAAGTAATACAGCAAAAACTGGTCAAAATAAAAAGTTTCTATTATTTCTTCCACCACTGTATATGCATAAATAAATATTTATATAAATTATTTTTCACATTCTTGTTTTATTTAATTTCATTAAATTCTACCCAAAAAAGAATGCAATTAAATTAAATTAAAATAATTTGATGGAGTTATAATGATGTGAAAAGAAATATGGACGCGACATTTCGACCACTTTTGACTAATTTCTTGATTTCTTTCTTTGTTTATTTTCAATTTTTCCTAATAAACAATCGTGGTACAAAGCTCAATAAAAAAGATTTCTCTTTTTGTCATCCATTTTCTTCTATATAAATCTTAAAAGTCCACACTTATCACAAAAACCAATTTATTTTTACAATGGCACGTCAAAAATGTAAACAAAACACAGCTGGTTTGCCCATTTATGAGCATTCACAATGGGTTTTTGTGAATTGTTCTACAAAATATTCACAATTATCGAATTAACTGGAGGTCGGCTAATCTGAGCTTGGTGAAAACGAGAATGTCAAATCAAGGTACCTGGAGATTAGCTATCCTCTAGTTAAATGCTAACTTAACTGGAGATGGTGCAAACGGCCCTAAGTGTGTCTTTTTAATATGAAGGACCCATCTTCAAAACTTGCTAGAATATGCCTAGAACTGTCAGAATACGACTTTACAATTGAATACATAAAAGGTAAATCAAACGTTGGAGCAGACGCACTTTCACGCATTACCATTAACGAACTAAAAGACTCTACGAAACATGTTTTAGCTATGAAAACGCGACAATGACAAAAACAATAGAATTACAAAACGAAAACAATCACACGGACAACCCTACAGTACAAGTTTACGATAAATTTTCGTATAATTTTTCTAAAAATATAAAGCGAGTAGTATCGCATTTTATATACGATAAAAATAACAAAATTTCAAATATTCAAATATGTGCACATTTAAAACACAAGAAACAAGAATTACTTAATTTTGCGAATGTTAACGAAACAACTTGTTTAGACAAGTTACTTTTGAGGCTTGATGCTGAAGCCGGCAATCGCAACATTAAGAAAGTAGAATGGCCAGGAGATGATATATTTTTCAATAATTTCTCTATTTCTAATTTAAAAACCAGCGATAATAATATTTTGAAATGTTTACAAATAGTATTAACGTAACCGGTAGAAACAGTAACTGACGATGATAAAAAGTTAATGGCCCGTAGTCATAGTCAAAATAAAGTCGACTATAAAGTTAGTTGCAGCTTTTTGACATAATTTTCAATGGGATATCTGTCAAAAAAGCTGCAACTAACTTTAAAGTCGACTTTATTTTGACTATGACTACGGGCCAATGACTATGACCATGGGCCATTGAAAACGACGAGCTACGGGCCACAGCTTCCAATTTGTTGTCTTCATTATCTGACGTAGATGACGAAATGATTTTTTTGAACGCGNGACCATTTACCATAATGACCCCATAACAGGCGGACACTGGGGAATGAAAAAACTTTATGCAAAATTACGTACAAAATATCACTGGAAAAATATGACCCGTGATGTATCCAAGTTTGTTAAAAATTTTTCAAAATGTTTATTAAACAAGGTTAAACCCAAAAACAAGGAAAATCTTGTTTTAACGCCAACACCTTGCAAACCATTTGATATTATTGTAATCGATACATTAGGACCGCTACCTGAGTCGAGTAGTGGCAATAGGCTCGCAATTACCATTATATACGATTTAAAAAAGTATTTGGTAACAGTAGCTGTGCCAGACAAAAGCGCTAAAACGATTGCATCGGCCATTTTCGAAAGTTTTGTCTTAACTTACGGTGTAATGAATTCCATTAAATCAGATTTAGGCACTGAATTCAAAAACGAAATTTTCACTGAATTAACCAAACTTTTAAAGGTTAAACACGATTTTTCAACCGCACAACATCATGAAACTGCGGGTACTATCGAACGTAACCACAGAGTTTTTAATGAATACTTACTTACTCATGTTTTACATTTTTACACAACACAACAACTAACACAGTTTTCGATAATAAAATTTAACCTTTTGAATTAATATTTGGGAAAAAGACCACAGTGCCACAAGATTTAAAAAAAGAACAGATTGACCCGATTTACAATGTAGAAAACTATGCGAAAGAAGTTGAATATAGAATGCAGAAGTCGCACTGCGATTGGCTGGGACGAGCCAATTCCTAACGAAGTAAACAACATTTGGAATCTGTTCCGCCAACAGCTAGTCAACGTGATCGGTTGTCAAGTTCCCAGACACTACTTTCTTGGTGGGTCACTACTTGCTCTTCAGTTGCACATATTTGTTGACGCCAGCGAGGAGGCCTTCGCGGCCGTAGCAAATTGCAGAGCACAGACTACGTATAGCGATGGAGTAGTGCGTAGTGCGCCTCTGAAGGCGCTGTCGATTCCTCCCCTAGAATTGCAAGCCGCAGTACTGGGTACCCAAATCCTTCATAGAACTCTATAGAGGGGCTTCGCTTCCAAGAAACAGCGAGTTGTATTCACGCTCAGCTTATGTCGACGAAAATTTTCATACTTCGCGTCCGTGGACGACTAGACTCCGGAAGCTAGATACCCTACGAGTTGAATCCCCTGATAATACTTCCAAGTAGCCACGCGTGTACTAAGCTTATGGTCACCGATATCCACGACAAGATGATGCACCAAAATAGCGAGGCAACGATTTGTCAGATACGGCAGAAGTTCTGGATTCCTCGTCTGCGAAGACTTCTTCGAAGCGTAATTTCGGAGTGCAATGTGTGCAAAATTAAGAACGCTAAGCCTGTGCAGCCAATGATGGGACCGCTGCCGGAGGACCGCCTCACGCTATATAATAGACCATTTCCCTTTACAGGAATGGATTACTTTGGACCAGTAAGCGTGACTATTGGACGCCGAGTAGAAAAGCGATGGGTAGCACTCTTTACATGCCTTACGGAACGTGATATCCATCTGGAGGTTGCATACGACTTGTCCACAGACGCCTGTATTTTGGCGATGTGCAATTTCATGAACCGTAGAGGAGTCCCACGGAGAATACGATCGGACAACGGCAAGAACTTCGTTGGAGTGGATAACGATATAAGGCCTTTCTCAGACGTTTTTGATTGTCAGATGGTTCAGACAGAGTTTACATCTAAGGGCGTGGAGTGGCTATTCAACTGTCCAGCTAATCCATCTGAGTGAGGCGTCTGGGAGCGAATGGTCCAGTGCGTTAAGCGCGTGCTGAGACACACTATGAAGGAAGTCGCTCCGAGAGAATTCAAGAAGCAAAGTCTTATGATAGTTAACTCCCGCCCCCTGACACACCTGCCAAC